AAAAAAAAAACCCAAAAAGCTCAGAGGCAAAATAGGGCCCGAGTGCTGGGCGCGGGGGGCGTGGGGCGCCCGCGGCCGGCCCCCAGCCCCCCGCTGTGCCGTCTGCCCCCAGCATCATCGCGCTCTACCACGGCATGGCCTGGGGCCTGGGCCTGCTGCTCGGCGCCGAGGGACTGCTCATGCTGTACCACCCGGCCCTGTCCAGGTAAGCGCGCCGGGGACCCCCTCCCTGCGGGGGACGCGGGGCGCTCCCGGCTGGGCGCCTCCCCGGCCACGTTCTCACCCTCACAGCACTGCATTTTCCTACCCAGTTTTTGGCATCTCCTGCCGTTGTCCCCCGTCGGGCTCGACCAAACACAAGAGCCTTTGTTTCCTTTTTTTGTTATTCCACCTGCTGTGGCTTTTTTTTTTTTTTTTTTAAACAATACTTTATTGATTTTTAGAGAGAAAGGGAGAGAGAGAAACATCCATGAGACAGAAGCATGGATCGGCTGCCTCCTGCACGCGCCCTGCTGGGGGTCGAGCCCACAAGCTGGGCACGTGCCCTGAATGGGAATCGAACCTGCCACCTCCTGGCTCCTAGGTCGACACTTGTCCACTGAGCCACGCCGGCCACGGCCCCAATCTGCTTTTCCATCTCCTCCTTGGGCCTGAGCAGTCCTCCCCCCTCTGCCCTCCAGTTGTTTCCCGGACCTTGCGCCTTTCTCACCTGCTGAGCTCCTACCTGGGCAACACACCTGTGTGTGGCGCTGCGGCACGGCCTACGGGGTCCTGACCCGCCAACAGGCGTCCTGGCCCCTCTCCCAGAAAAGAGGCACTGAAATGACTTCTCGTTAACCACGGGGACCGCTGCCCACTGAGGCATGAAGCCTGGTATCGCGGTTGCTCAAGGACGGGACCTGGGCCTCTCCACGGTGTCGGCCGGGTGAGCCCGGCACCGTGCACAGGACACGCTCAAACCCTGACCAGCTCATGCAGTGTCCTTGTCTCAGTGCAGTTCTGTTTTTTCCTCTTGAGCAGAGCCCGTGGCGGGACCCGCCATCCCAGTGTCTTTCCCTTTCTTTCCCGCTTCCCAGGGGGACTGTGGAGGCTCCCCCGGGGGCAGCCTTAGACGGCTTCCCACGTACGAGACAAATAGAAGATCCACGTCCCTGTGCTTCTGCGACTCGTTGCAGGTTCACAGGCCTGAGATCTGAGCCAGGCCCGTGCTTTCTGCGGAGCCGGGAGATCCGTGCCGGTCCCTGTTGCTCATGAGCCCGGCATCTCCCGGAAAACTCGGTCTCCCCCCCGCAGGTGTGAGAGGGGCCTGGAGCACGCCATCCCCCACTACGTCACCACGTACCTGCCGCTGCTGCTCGTCCTGGTGGCCAACCCCATCCTCTTCCGAAAGACAGTGACGGCAGGTAGGTAAGAGGAGACCACGGGGTGACCACGGGGATGGCCGCCCCGTGGGTCCAGATAATGACAGGTGTTGTCCTTCTGGGATTACCTGGGACCGTGGGCCCCGTTCATCCTCCTCCGGAGACGTAAGCAAAACACAGCTGCAGAAACGGAGCAGCTTCCAGACAGGAGAGGGAGCGAGCGGGCTCAGCCGCGGGCCTCGCAAGGCCTTTGCCGCAAGGCCGGCGCCTGTGGGCTTTCCCCTGCGCCCGGGCTCATCCCGGGCCCACCCGGTGCGACTGGAGGCCCCGGCAGTGGCCTCGGGAAACGGGCCTGAGGCAGGAGCAGGAGGAGAGGAAAGGGCCCAGGAGGGTGCTCTGGGGGCTCGGGGCCTGCTTACTCCTGCAAGGAACCTGGCCCTGGCCCGCGTCTTTGCCCAGCGGAGCAGGAAACAGGAGTAGAGAGCGCAGGAGATGAGTCCGACGCAGCAGTGAGGACCGGGGCAGAGGGAGGTTGTGGGTCAGCAGGACGCGTGGGAACACATCTGGGCTGAGGCCAGGGGACATGCATTCCAGCCCCACCCCGTCCCCCAGGCAGCAAAGCTGGGGTGCGTCTCCCGCCTCCAGCGGTGGGAATCTTGCAAAGTGCGGACGGACTGGGAACACGGACGGACTCCGAGTAACGCAGCCTCCCACTGAGAATAGCAAAGGATCACGGCTCTTGGGGTCACTCTTTCCATCTCTACGTTTTATAGTAGTGTATTAAATATAGCAATTTTTTTATATGTTTATTGATTTCAGAGAGAGGAGAGGAGAGGGAGAGAGAGAGAGAAACATCAATGATGAGAGAGTCACTGATCGAGCCCGCAATCCAGGCCTGTGCCCTGACCGGGAATTGAACCCCAATCGCCTGGATCCCGGGTTGACACTCAACCGCTGAGCCACGCCCGGCTGGGCAATATAGCAATTTTTAACAAAATGGCATAAAAATAGTCGGATTCAGTGACATCAAATGAAACTGACAAGCAAAAGACAGCAAAGAGACTCACTATGATGCTAACAGTTGCCGCCACGTGGACCGTGGCTCATTCATTCTTGAAACTTTTTTAAGTCTTCCAACTTGCCCATAAGGAGAAACTCTAAATCCTTCCACGTTTTATTTATTGTTAATATTTTTATTGATTTTTGCAGAGAGAGGAAGGGAGAGAGGGGGAGAGACAGAGAGAGAGAAACACCTGCCTCCCGCACGCCCCCTACTGGGGATCGACTCACAACGCAGGTCCGTGCCCTGACCGGGAATCGCACCTGGGACCTTCCAGTTCGCGGGACGAGGGCCACCCAGCTCAGCCACACCGGCCAGGGCTACGTCTTTCCATGTTTTAAAACAATAGAAAATATAAATTTTTACAATAGAAAATATAAATCTTTAAGAACACGGTCCCTGAACTAGTAAAATCCAAGTAAAATCTGCAGTTTCATTCGCGGTACGGTCCCGATGTTCATTTCTTTCGGGGACCTCGGTCCCCACGGTTGCGCAAGATGTTAGCTTTGGGGGCAGGCGGGTAAATATGCACAGAAACTCCCTGTGCTATATCTGCAAATGTCACGTCCGTGTAAAATTGTTCCTGCCTGGCCGGGCGTGGCTCAGCGGTTGAGCGTCGACCTGGGATCCAGGCGATCGGGGTTCGAGTCCCGGTCAGGGCACAGGCCCGGGTTGCGGGCTCGATCAATGGCTTTCTCATCATGGATGTTTCTCTCTCTCCCTCTCCTTTCCTCTCTCTGAA